AGGTTATTGAAATTACCCTCGTATAAACCGTTACTTCAATGCTACTTTTTTTTAGGTTAATAACTGTGGCATGCAGGCGATTTTCGATTGTACAAATGAAGCCAGAATTGTGGAACGACTTAATTTTTCTTCAGCTGATACAATTAATCCTAGCAGTGGCGGTTGAGGTTTTCTAGGGCTTTTCCTCGCCCAAGTGCGAATGGAGTCACTAAAAAATCATATTATCCTAATAAAGAGCAGAGAGAATGAAAATCGTACTTCTCCTATTAATGATAATGTAATTTTAGATAAAATAGTCAATAAATATATTTATATAATAAAACATTGTTTTTTTCCAATTCTTGGAATTCAGAAAGTATGTTATGCTATAAAACTGGGCATTTATAAAAGTGTTCAGCTTATTATTAGTTTTTTTGGCAAGCATTGCTACGCCTCCAATTTTATATATCATATCTCCATTGGTATACCTCAATATTTTATCCAAAGCTTCTATTTTTATGACATTCTAGCAATAGCAGAGGTAGCGAAATTGTCCGACGAGGTGGCGATGCCGCAATCTAGGTGACAGGAATGAGAAGGTCGTATGTCTATCCCGGGGTAACGACGGAGTCATTCAGTACGTCAAAACGGCAGTTTTTCAATCTTCATGTGCATTTCTCAAGCGGTGTGCAACGATTTCGAGAAAAATTTCACTACGGATAGTTCTAGAGTTTAGTAGAGTATATTTCAGTAGCTGTCCTGCGTGGCCATGTTATCTTTAGTCGGGCCGATGTTAGGATTGATACGTTTTACAGATACAGGTAGTTCAGGATGGAGAGTACATACTGTATTGATTGTTTTGAAGAAATTCATTAACCCATAAATTGTTAATAAATGATTATTACTATGATGTAACGAAAGATGACGAATTTGTTGGAATATATTTTATGTCCCTTTTCACGCAAAATGCAAACAAATCCGCATATTTCAACAGGTATGTGCTTTAATGATAACATATAAACACTCAGTATATTGAACTTGACAAATTCGAGATGGCCATGCAATAACAAACGTCCAAGCCTGCTATTAAGTTTAACAGCTAGAACATCGACTTATTATTTCTTGCATTCCCATTGGCTAAAGGGATAACCGATGTATTATTATATACATTCATAAGGAAAATCAAAATATATGAAAGTTGTCCTGTTTTCTCTGTACAAAAGCATCATGTTGGAATCAAAAAGTGCTCTTGCTTATAATACAATCGCTTTTTCACGGATTTATTAAATAATTCATTAGAAGTCAGTGATATTCAGATAGCTTTGACAGCTTCCGTCAAATTGCATTTCGACAAGGTCTCTTCCCATTGGTCTAAACTCCAAAGGTAAGTGAAATAGAGCTTAAGTAAGATTTGTTGATTTTTGAGTGAATCAAACGTAAAAAGGGAGAAGTTTCTCATTTATACCATGACAAAAAGAAGTTATTCATGACAATATTCAACACATATTTGGAGGACTCTCTTAGTCATACAAATCAGGAAGAATGTGTCAATTGGTTTGGTAGGAAGCAAAAAAAAATCCTTAAATAAATGATTTCGGGCAAACCGAATAAGACAAAATGGATACTGTATTCGTACATAACTTTATTTTTTATTTAATTGGTATTTTGGTGCATAAAGCATATAAATATGCAAAGAAAACTAATCAAGGATCCTGATACTGTTTTTGAAATGACCCATGATGTTGTTGTAATTTTATTTTATTGTTATTTTGCGGTCAGTACACTGCTCGAACAGATGATTCGATTTAACGAACAGGAAATATACAAACTACAAAAAAAAAAGAAAAAAAATCAATAAACACATTACATCTAAATAAGTTCTTAACCTACAGTCAAAAACGACCTTTTTAAAAGTGATATAGTGCAATGAAAAATGTCTACTAAATTCTTTACTTTTTCATAGTTGTTACACATTACATATAATGGCGAAAAAAGTAACACACTGGTACGAGGCACAGGTAAATAGAAATTGGTATTGTTAAACCTTATGTTTCGGTACGGTACGTGTAATGACAGCTTTTCTAAAAGAAACTGGCAATCAACTGTGCTGTTTAAAATTTTATATAAGAAAACCACAGCGCAGTAATTTCTGCGCTTAGATAAATTTACCATATTAAATCTACTGAGCAATAAGTCATTTCGAAATCCAGCCGCAGGATAAATCCCATCTTCCTTGAACCATAAATATTTAGCAAAACGTCGCTGGATCTTTTCAATGCTGTCCAAATGCACATCATATGCAGGGTACCAAATTATACTACAGTATTCGAGCTTACATCTAACAAACGCATTGAATAACAATAAAAGAGTTTTAGCATTATTGAAGCTCTTGCCACACCTAAGTATGAAACCCATCGTCTTGTGCGCACCGGTTACAATTTCAGTAATGTGTTGCACAAAAGTTAACTGTGGGTCGAAAGAAACACCTAGATCCCTCACAATGGAACAACCATCCAAGACTTGACCATTTATGTGATAAGCATAACCAATTATATTCTGCTTACGTGTGAAAGACATAGTTTGGCATTTTGTAATATTCAGATACAGCTGATTCAGGCAACACCACTCATACAGACGTACTAGTTCATCCTGAAGCTTCACACAATCGACAATTGTGTCAATTCTAGAAAATAATTTCAAGTCGTCTGCGTACAATAAGTTGCAACAATTTAGTTGGCCACTGAGATCATTCACAAATGTAGCGAATAATAGCGGACCCAGGACGGAGCCCTGGGGCACCCCAGATGTCGCAGAAACACTGACAGACCTAAAACCACGGTACTCAACGGAAAGTATTCTGTCCAACATATAAGATCTGAGGAAATTTGCGAATCCAAGTGATATACCACATCTTAAAAGCTTCTGTATTAGTACTCCATGGTCAAGTCTGTCAAATGCTTTTGAGAAATCCGTATAGATAACGTCAATCTGTCCGCAAGTATCTAAAATTTCAGCAGCATGCTGTTTGAAACATGCAAGATTAGATGTAGTCGATCTACCAGGAAAAATGCCATGCTGATGTGGAGTGATGATGTGTTTCACATGAGTGAATATGATTTCGTGAACAACAGATTCAAATACTTTAGCAATATTACTTAGGATCACAATAGCTCTATAGTTTTCAATATTATTTCGGTCACCTTTTTTGAAAACAGGAGTAATGCGAGATTTTTTCCAAACCTTAGGATAACATCTCTATTCCAAAGATAAATTAAATAGAAAAGTGAGAGGCTCAGCGAGCACCTGACAACAATCTTTAAGTAAAAAAGAAGGTATTGAATCCGGACCAGTAGAGCATTTGGATCTAAGTTTAGATAAAGCATGGTTGACCTGATCTACTGTGATTTTAGGTAAGTCGCATAACTGACCATTACAAGACACACCAGAGACAGTGTCACCCCTGCCAGAGGTTATGAAATTAGACTGAAAGAATTTAGCGAAAGCATTGACAATATCAGGTGGTGAATTCAGAGCAACGTCATCCAAAACCATATGACAGGTACACCGGTGACATTTCTAGCTCTGTTAACATATGACCAGAAACTATTTGGATTGTTAGAAATATTCTGTTCAGCCTTGGAGGTATATCTATGAAATGCACGATCCAGCTCAATCTTGATACTCCTTCGAAGCTCTTTGAATGCATCAATATCATGTGGATTGCATGTTCGTTTACAACGCTTCCATAATCTCCGTTTTCTTTCAATCTTGGCAATTATTGAGCGGGAGAACCAGGGAGGGTAAATGATATCTCTCGGCGTTGTTACTGGTACATGAATATCAAACAGAAAGTGCAGAATTTGGTAAAAACTGCCACAAGCAAGATCAACCTGTTTTAGTCCATAAAGGGACGAAAAATCTGCATTAAAGATATCATTGTACAAAGCAAGAATATTACATTTTTTAAAATTATAGGAAGGGATATTATTAACCTCAAATCTACAGGAAGAGGTATGAAATGAGAGAATTAGTTCCAAAGGCGGATGGTGACTGTCAATGGGCAACAAGATGTCAAGTGCTTTATTTACCTCTATATCGGTTCTACTGAATACCAAATCTAAGACACGATTATGTTCATTTCGGATGTGAGAGTATTGCTTCAGATTCAAAAGGTTTGCAAACTTTTGCACAGCCAAAATTTGATTGTTGTTGACAAGGTTGTTGTCCATATAGTCAACATAACTTGGTATATTAAAATCACATAAGAGGACTAATTCATTATCAGAATTAAAATAATCAACTGCCAGAATATCACCAAAAACTGACTCATACATGTCTGCAGACAGATTTGGAGGAATATATACGAGTATGATAATAGCGGTACGCCCCAATCTGTCAATATTAATAGTAATAATATCGACAGATGATACACTGCGTATCAAGTCGATTTTACTGACTTTGAATGAATTATGAACTGCTACTAGTACACCTCCGCCTCTGTTAACGCCCAGTGCATTATAATTCCTGCCTGACTTGTACAAGGTGTAGTTTTCTCCTACTAGTTCAGAGTCACGTATAGAGGCATTAGCCCAAGTTTCAGATAGTGCAATGATATCATACGCACAAGAATAGGAAGCATTAAGAAGTGTAACAGTTTTAGTCCTGAGACCTCTCACATTCTGATAATATATACTTAAGGCATGAGAATTCTGGGCAATGATGTTAGATTTATCCGTGACGATTTTAGGAGCTACATTTGAGATGTCCGAGTACAGCAGTGATTGCTACTCATTACCAAGCAAAATTTTCTTATACTCTATTAGTTTATCCTTATAGAACTTACATTTACTGGAGTCCCACGCAGCATGATGTACATCAGGATATCTACAGTTGTTACACTTCAATACCTGTTCCGAGCATTCAGAGATCATATGAGGTTGAGAACACTTTACACATACGTGCCTATCACTTTTACAAAATTTTGCATAATGGTTTAAACCACAACATTTAAAACAAACTTTTTAATCATCAGCATCATATACTTTACAACTATCAAAATTTACAAGAACATGTCCCCGTTCCAATAACTTTAAATACGTAGTGTTATCAACATCAACTATAGCTTGAAAAACTCCGGGTGATTTCTTAGTAGGCCATAGTTTTAACACTTTACATTCACTGGAGTTCTTAAGTACAATGTTCTGCGCAATCAAATTAGAGTGCAATTCGTCTAGCGACATGCTTTCAGAAATACCCACGATTTTTAATCTAGGGTTGTTCCTCTTGATCTCCCTTACTTCATATTCATCTGAGAGATGCTGGGACGCTAAACTTTTCAGCATCAGTAAAACTGTTACACTTTATTAACAAACCACCATCCTTGACAAGCTTCACTTGTGAAAATCTGATGCTGCTGTCGACTGGATTAACAGCCTGATGTATTTTCAGTTTGGTTTCAGTGTTAGATTGACCTGCTTTTTTTGGTTTCACCAAGACATTGACAATATTATTTCTCACAGCGTTTGGATAACTAAGTGACTGCCCAGACGCGACACGACAATCAACACTAGATTCCAGTTTTTCTTCAACTCTAACCATTAACTTAGATTGTGCCTCAGAAAATAAATCAAATACATTAGTAACCAGTTTGTTGACCCTTTCTTCAAAATTAGTTTTATACCATTCTTCATAATTCTTTTTGCGTTCAGTGCATTCCACACAGTACCAAAAAAGTACAGGCGTTTTAATTACTTTTAGAACCTCAGTCACGACTCCAACACAGGAAATGTGGTAGCTATGCTGGCAAAAACCATCACAAGAAATGCTGGGTTTCAGACGGCTAAACGCCAGATGCCAGTGACCACATGAATTTTCCATTATTTAGGATATTGTCAATCAATTTTCGTGCATAATAACTGCACACAATGAAATAAATGAACTAGTATTGTACCGCGTATTTGATTCCGCTCAAAATTCTCATGTATCTCTAAAAAGGCATAAAAGGAATTTCAAAAAACATGTGACACGTGCTATTTGAAGTGGCTGACTCAACTTATGGGAGCTTTATTTTCTCATGAAATATGATGAGTATGACCAATATCAATAGGCTCTCTGTGTAAAAAAATACATACTCAACAATTCAAATCCGATAGAAGTCAGGCCACCAGACAAATACGTACTCATCTGGCTATGAAACAGAGTAAACATCGTCAACAGCATTTCGTAGATGGCGCAGTAACGGTTATCTGTCTGAGCAAGGCACACCTGATGCGATGCAACGCAATACCAGCCGAAAGAGCCAAGCAATCCAAGCGATGCTTATTCAATTATCATAACTTCTGTCATAACGACTGCTACCAATTGTTTTGCTAGTAGAGCAGGGAATTTCATAAAAGTTTTACGGTCGAAAATACCGCTCAGCCGTCTGGATGGCTGTTTAGAAATCGTTGTTGCCCTCTGCAGATGCTCTCCAAGCCATTTCAAATGTTTGGAATGGATTTAGACTGGTTGATTAGATTTTTGTTAATATCAAACCTACATTTCTGGTATTTGATGCCATTCAAAAAAGAGCAATTCAACATTCGATGCAGGAGAAAAGAAGACTAGCAGCGACTTCCTCTCTCACGAGACCTGGAGGTTATCACTGCTTGGGGTCGCAACAATCGTGCACAGTTTAATGCTTCTTACGGATGATTATTTAAAGGTACTTTTTTAGTATGGCTGTAATTGCTTATGGCGCATGCGTCGTGACAACTAATTTGACATTTTCTGTTTTAGTATTGTTCGACATTTCATCATGGAAAGACTTAGTCCAGCACAGCGTCTACAAATAATTCAGCTGTACTACGAAAATCAACGTTCTGCGAGAAGTGTGTTTCGTGCACTTAGAGCAACTTGTGGTGTACATAATTGGCCCACCGAATGCACAATTCGCCGTACGGTCGAAAAATTTGAAACCCAATTTTCATTATTGGATAATACCCGACCAAATAGACCACATCCAGCACGCAGTAAAAAAAATATAGCTGCGGTAGCTGAGAGTATACGTGAGGACCGTGAAGAGTCGAGTCGGCGCCGTTCTCAACAGCTTAGCTTGTCGTATTCAACAAATTGGCGTATATTACGTAAGAATCTAAATTTGAAACCTTACAAAATTCAACTTGTTCAAGAATTGAAGCCGGCCGACCTTCCAAAGCGTCATCGTTTCAGTCTTTGGGCTCTTGCACGGTCTGAAGAAGATCCGATGTTTTCGAGCAAAATTTTGTTTAGCAATGAGGCTCATTTTTGGCTTAACGGCTACGTTAATAAACAAAACTGTCGTATTTTGGTTGAAGGACAACCCGAAGTGGTTCAAAAGCTGCCATGACATCCAGCGAAAACAACGGCTTGGTGTGGTTTATGGGTCGGTGGAATAATCGGTCCCTATTTTTTTAAAAATGAGGCCGGTCAGAACGTAACTGTGAATGGTGCTCGTTACCGCGCCATGATAACGGATTATTTGCTGCCTGAAATTGAAGCCCGTAATCTCGACGACATTTGGTTCCAACAAGACGGTGCCACTTGCCACACAGCCCGTGCAACCATGGCTTTATTGCGAGAACATTTCGATGAACACTTAATTTCACGATTTGGACTAGTGAATTGGCCACCTAGATCATGTGTGATATCACACCTCTAGACTTTTTCCTTTGGGGCTACGTTAAGTCCAAAGTCTACATTGATAAGCCCAATACGATTGAGGAATTAGAAGCCAACATTACGCAGGTCATTCGCCAAATGCCAGTCGAAATGCTCCAACGTGTCATCAAAAATTGGAACTTTAGAATGGACCATCTCAACCGCAGTCAGGGCCAACATTTGAAACAAATAATATTTAAAAAATAAATGTCAAAAATAGTTCTTTTCTTTAATAAAAAAGATTTGACAAGAAAAAAGAATTTTGTTATTTTATTTTGTTGCTGAAAAAGTACCTATAAATGAATTACCCATTAAAACACAGTACTGTACCTTGATCAACAAGGAGCATCCTAGCGTTCATCCAGCTTCGATGGATGAGCAAGCAGTTGATTTCGGCTGGTCGGAGTCCACATCACCGAGAACTTGATCTGACACGAGCACATCTATTTGCTGATGACCTCTTCACTCTGTACAAGGTTCAGATAAGACCGAGCCTTAAATACTGCTCACATGTTTGAGGTATTGCCACTCAACTACAGTATCGATCCTCGATGCTGTTCAGAGGAGAGATGTCCGATTAATCGATGATTCCTATCTTACGTACAGTCTTGGCGAGCCGTCGGCGATTAGCACTCTTCCACCTCTACGCCAACGGGCTTTGCTCATCAGAGCTCTCCTCCATCAGAATTGGCCGATACGACCGCGCTTTTGTTCCTAGGGAGTCGAGTTTGTGGAACAATCTGCCTGAGGAGGCTTTTCACAAGTTTCTTTAAGCTACTTGCAGCAGCCGGGGTGACTGACATTTAGGATTCTGCCTGCACGTCTGCTTCTTGTAAAGAAAATCCAACATTTAGAGAGTAACTCTCGTACAACATGAGTTCAATACAGTATTAAACTTTTGCCAATAGAAATAAAATATTGTCATAGTGTCAATATTACTTCCAGCATTCTGGGAGCGAAAGATACGCGAATTTCCATCGGAGACGATTCACCTTATCAACTTTGATTGAAAAACTTCCGGACTCAAAAAATCCCAAGTTTAATTCGTTCGTGTGCCGCTGTGCAGAGCCGAGTAAAGAGGAAAGCAAGAAGCCACCTCAAATTTATAAACGTCGGCCCCTTACTCCTCGAGTGGTTAACCATCTAACTTTATTAACTTGCAACAATATTTTAAATTGAGTTGGAAAGAGCAATAATGGGATCTTCGGTAGACTTTGTATTCAGATAGTTTTTTTATATTACTTTTTTCTCCGTACGCAAATTGAGGTATTGTGGGGGTTAATATAACGCTTGAAACTTATCGTGTGATTTTCATGCTGATATCGTAATCTAGCTGCACATATATGCTTGAACTCATTCTTTTTACTAATAATAATATACAGGGTGGCGCATCGAAAACGAAGCAGACGCATTTACTGGCAGCTCAGTTTTTCTTTGGAAAAACGCCCAGACCCGTCGATTTTGTTTTCGAGGGGGACACAAGTTTGGCAAACAATCACGTTAACACGTGCAGCCCTCTGGCCGGGGGTGACACCAACCCTAAAATCTTAAATGGAAAGGAGGGTCGAGTGATACTTTATTTTAAATTTCTTTCAATTTCCTTTATAATGATGTAAAATACATGAACTTCAGTTCAGTGTGGTTTTGAAGATTTATTGATTTAAAGCTTGAAGTATACTTTAATAGGTACATTAGATTAGTTTGTACTACTTTCAGAAGAAATTTGACTAAAAGAATTTACTTAATAAGTAAATGCCTTTCTTCGCTACGCCCATGGTTTGTTTATCTTTTTGTTGTTAAAATAGCTATTGGAGCGTTTTTTCGTGGCAAAAAGTTATTTCTTGCAGAAAGATAAGGAAATATCTCGTACTTATTTTAAATAGGAATTTAGTACATAGTTTGCGATTGATTTGACCAAACTTTGTTGCTAAAATAACTTGTAACGCTTTATTACATAAATTAACCATGGTATATTCCACAGCAGAAAGAGTTGAAATTATCGAAATATCAGTGCGCTAATAGAACTGCAGAAATATTTAATGTGCGACATGACAACAGTAACGTGCATCGAAAATATGTTCTAGATCTTGTAGCTAAATTTCGAGAAACTGGGTCAGTCGCCAATAAAAAACGCAATATTGAAAATCCCATAAGGTACGAAGCAATAGAAGTGGGGGTTTTAGGGCAAGTTTATGTAGATCCTACGTTAAGTACCCTCAAATTGGAGACCGTGTGTGGTGTTAGTCGACGTACTGACCAACGGATTCTAAAGGCGCATAGTTTTCATCCGTATAAAATTCACCTGGTACAAGGACTTATTGAAGACGATTTTGATCGGCGATTACAATTTTGTGAAGATATGAGTGAACGAATGATGAACGATGAACATTTTCTATTCAACACTTGCTTTTCCGACGAATGTTCCTTTTTCTTAAATGGCGTAGTAAATCGTCATAACTGCCGATATTGGTTCGATTCTAGTCCCAGAATTTATCATGAGGTTCATACACAGCAGCCACAAAAATTAAATGTTTGGGCTGGTACTTTTTGCGATCATTTAGTTGGTTCTTTTTTGTTACCTGGAAATTTGACCGGTGAAATGTATTTGGAATTACTGGAAGACTCCATAGATCCTGCATTAATAGCCATAATTGAAAATCAGAAT